GTTACACTTTTATCATATAAATCATTAATCAGACAAAATACGATCTCACTTCGTGCCTGTAACGAGAAAAATAGGATACGCAACTCAGGTGGAGGCCTCCCCACCCTTAAGCATACTTTCCATCCTCCGAACACTTTCGGCCCTTGGGTGAAAAGTACTTTTCCGCCCTTGGGCCAGAAGTACTCAGTGGGCAAAAAGTGAAAAAGTGGCACTTTTCAAACTAGTGACGTCATATACTATTACTTGATTCACCTGAGTCCACAAAATATGGTACAGTTAAAAAAAATTTGTTTCTTAAGTTTTTTTTAAATCAAATTTATTTGTTTCACATTATTGTCATCCAGTTGGTAAGAAATAAGTATCTAGTTCATGATTTACCTGCGATAAAATATCTACGATTTTGTAATCAGCTGAAAAATTATAGAATAAAATCTCATAAAATTTCTATAAAATATGACGATGAGAGGAGATAAGTTCAGAATCATTAGAACATGTGACAGTACGACACCGTCAAGCCATCATCGGTAGACTAGGGCAGGTAGGGAAAGAGGGAATAGAGGGGTATAGGGGATAGTTAGGCTAGGGAGAGAGGAGAGCCAGAGAGAAAATGCAAATAAAGGCAGATTAGCTTGGGCTTCTGAGCACGCGTGAAGCAGGATTTTTGTTTTATGTGAGAAGCGTCTTTTTCTGGTTTTTTTTTTTCCTTTTGTAGTTGCGGCTGTGCATCCTGTTTCGTCTTTCGGGAGCTCAGAGTCATTTTTCGACGTCATCTTTTGGTGCAAGTTGGCTCCTGGTCCTGATAATGACACCAATGACCTTTGCCTTCGAACGGGAGGGACACCTACTGGCCGCAGCGTACCCGTTCCACGACTCCAGCGTGATCTCAATTGTTAGGGGAATCGTTGAGAGTCGCAACAGCGTTAACGTAAGTACCTGCCAGGTCACGAGTTTATGTTGCGAGCTTTTTATATTTTTTTTTAATATAAAGTTCAATTATAAAATATTCCTCGCAAGTGATAATTTCTTGTGTGACCGATTCCCCCTTGTGCCATGTTTACGAAAGTCACAAGAGGCGATGACAGTCAAGGTCACCACGATATTTAGCCTCAGTGGTGTCTCAGCAGACGACACCTACGTGTAACATTTGCAGGGAGTGTCGCCAAGAGTATCTGGGCAACACAGGCCTGGTCGAAGTCGTGGTCGATGTTTCTGCCTCGCAAATTTGTTTCGCATATACTCCGTAACAAACAAGAGCCTCTTCATTAATTGTGAATTTTTTTTGCAAAAATATAAGTAAACTCAACACCGATATTAAGTCAAATTTCATTATTATTTTTTAAAATACTAACTAGATAACACAAAAATTTTATTTTCACCATTAATTTTTTCAGGTACTAAAATAAAGTATGATAATAAAAATGTTGGCTTAATACATATGTTACTCCAGAAGGTAAATTCCTCAGCTTGTGTTAGGTACCAGGTCCATGATGCATTAGTTAATACACTATAGCTTGCTAAACTCATACCAAACTGCTTCAACATTCTTGGAACTACTGCGTATGTCTTTCTGATAACCGTATACAAGATTTGCAAAGTAAGCTTCTTCTCTTTATCTACTGACTACTGTCAGTATTCTATGAATATTGTTCTGGATGGTTCAAGCTTATATTTTTAAAGTGAAACATGTGAAAGTTTGTCTGTCATGTATGTGTAGTGAATTAAGAAAAAATGTGTTCAAATGAAAATGATGAGCGTAATGTAGTGTAAAAAAGTTAAACAGTTGTCATGTAAGAAAGATGTTGTTGATTTTGGTTATAAGCATTCAGTTTTGCCACTAACTTCAATGACTCTGAGTCACATTTTGTTTGGCAGAAATAAATATCCTTAAAATTCGATAATTTTCCAAAGATGTTGCTTTCTTTGCGCGAAGCTGATTTTGTCAGCTACATTTTGGTGCCGAAACCCGGGAATTATAGTTGTATCCAGAATTCGGGAACAGAGAACATGGGGAAAAGAAAGCAAGCAGCTCCAGAGAACACTTCAAGAACACAGCATCGCAGCAACAATGACAACAGCGACTGCAGCAGTGAACATGACAGCGGAAGCAACAGCGTCGTCGGTGCAGAGGACGAGCTATACTGCCACCAACTCTTACATGATCTCGTGCGTCATACCGTGTGCCATCACCTCGTCACCCTAACCCTGCTGCACGGCAGTGTGTTCGCGTACGCCGTCTCCTCGCCGTCCTGATCCTGTTGAGCGACAGTGCGTTCGCGCACGCCGTCTCCTTGTCGTACTGATCCTGTGAATTGGCAGTGCGTTCGCGCACATTGTCTCCTTCACCTTCTGATCCTGTTAAGTGGCAGTGCGTTCGCGCATGCCGTGTCCTCATCGTCCGGATCTTGCTAAGCGGCAGTGTGTTCGCGCACGCCGTATTTACGTCGTCCATCTCCTTATTTTCCTGATTTTTCTAAGCAACTGTGCGCTTGTGCATGTTGCGTTCTTTTCCTGCAAGTAATACACCTGCAGCTACATTGAGGTCGTACACACCACGTTATTCGTCTCTATTGTGCAAAAGTATAATAGTGGGACAAGCATGCAAGTAAGATAGTTACCCAACTATGTAAAGGTGCAATGTATTGTATTGCATCTCTAATATCATTAAGTGACATGTCGGTAACATAATTACCTTTTTTTTCATGCGTCTTTAAAAAAAAATGTTTTGCTACCGTCACGTTTTGAATATTTATAATCAGAGTACTGTACACATTGTAATCTTGAGTGGGTGCATTTAATTTAAAAGGATGTGTAAATTCAAATTGATTGTATATGAGCATGAATCAGATTTGCTTTAAGTATGATAGTCTTGTCAGCCGTGTCACTCACTGGTGATCCACCGTGAACATGGTTGGTAACCGCATGGCAAAAGAGGCCGGGACAGTCAGTGGTCACGTAATACAGGATACCGGGTTCGCGACGGCAGGGCAGCGCACCCCGAGCAGTGAAGGACCTGGACATCTATTCTGGGATAGACCCAAATAGCGACGGCAGAAATGCGCTTCTCGAGCAGTGAAGGTCTGAGAGTGCTGTCAAGACGAAGCCTATCGTCAGGGAGGTTGAGATTTCCTTGGTCGGATGCCGTATTAGTTGACCTCATTCGAGCAAAGTCTTCTCTTGTAGGCTTAGCATATCAGTTATTGATATGATCGAGATTCTCAAAATTATCTGTTATTTGATTTTACTATTTCTATTTGTGAATTTAGTATAGTTTAGAACAAATATTCGTTATAAGGTATAGATTGTTTAGGATATGAGATAAACATGTGAATGCACATGAAGTTTGGATGCTTGTTTTTGTAGTATAAATGTGATACGATTGTGACGCATTTAGTAGTAACAAAAGAGCATGTTTTTATTTTTGTATCTTTGACGAATCATAGTCAAATTCTTCCAGAAGTCGCTTATTACAGCTCATAAAAACAATTTCTCTTTCTTGAATTTCTCAAATTTATACTTTTGTAATCACAATCTTCTAGAACTATCTCAATTCAAATAGTTATTTTAAGAGAAGTTTTCTTTTGTTTGGATGTGGTTGGGACTTGGACAGAAAGATCGAAAGTGAGATGAATCTGTGGCTTGATTGGCAGTGATACTCACCAAGAAGTCTCTGGTTTACGATAAATTGCAGTTTGAAGCACATTTTATTTAAAATAATTATGGCTGTTGATATCTGAATTAAAAATGAAAAATTTTGTATTATTTAAAAAATTGAGAAGTGTTTGCAAAGACAGTCGTTTCAACACTCACGATTGAAAGGTGTCGTTTGTGTGAGCTGTAGTGCTACGAAAACTCTCAGAGTTATCGGGAGCACATCCCCTGTAGATTTTAGGGGCACGGGATAATAAGCGTAGAGGCTTGTTGCAGACTGTTAGCTGTGAGGCGATTGTCTTGGCATATCTTAAGTTGTTGAATGAAAGACTTCATCTTTTGAAATCAATTTGCTTCCTACGAATTAAATAAACCTATCCATCAATTGTAGACTATTTATAATTTCACGATTTGAAGTTTGCATTGTTTGACTCTATAAAACAATTCATACCCCTACCACATTATTCAGTTTTAATATATGGTACAAACCTAATGTTTTTACGGGGGAGAGGATGTTCCGGATAGATCAAGCTTATATTTTTAAAGTGAAACATGTGAAAGTTTGTCTGTCATGTATGTGTAGTGAAGTGAGAAAAAAAGTGTTCAAATGAAAATGACGAGCGTTGTCATGTAAAAAAGATGTTATTGATTTCGATTAGAAACGTTCAGTTTTGCCAATAACTTCAATGACTCTGAGTCACATTTTGTTAGGCAGAAATAAATATCCTTAAAATTTAATAATTTTCCAAAGATGCTTCTTTCTTTGCGCAAAGCTGATTTTGTCAGCTACAAACATCATTTGAACAGTCATAGTGTCTCGTTGATATATTATTAAAAATATACAAGAAGCTCATGCGAAATTAATTTGCCCAAGGTTAAATATTTACTATGCTGAATCAAGTATGGGCTATGAGTATAAATAAACTCATTTTTTCTGTTCTTCTTCACGTATAGTCTTGTTGTGTGTGTGTGTGTGTGTGTGTGTGTGTGTGTGTGTGTGTGTGTGTGTATGTGTTAGAGCGTAAGTGTGTGCACGCGCGCGCGTGATCTGTTATTCTCCTCCTATCACAATGTTCTTTTGAAGAGTATCATCTTAGATTGAGCGTAATCTACTCATCTTACTTGATTACAATAATACAATAAAAAAAATAATAACAATTTCCTCTACAACTAAACTGTATTTTCATTATCTGAAATATCACATTATGACATTTTTGTTGTATCACATACAGTTTTAATATATTCACTGAACACAAAATGTTAAAATATTGTACATGCAGTTGGTGTGGTTCCTAAAATGATTGAAAAATTAAAAAAAAAAACCTAACACTTATAATAATCGAACAACTTACCTGGATTTTTTTTGAATACTTTAGATACTGGTAGTGATGATTGTCAAAGCTGAAATCTCGGGGTGTAAGAGTTATATCATGATTATTCTTGTAATTACTCATCTTTTGTCTCTCCATTTTTTTGTGGGCATGAAGGTCATTATCTACAATTACATTAATCTTTTATTATTTTTATTGTAAAACTGATCTATAGATGCAACGAATTAAAAAAATGTGGTCTAAGTGTAAGTTTAGCTGCTGGTAATATTTTGTCAAACTGACTTTCTACATACAGTTTTAAAACATACATTTTTATAATCCAAATGGATACTTAACTCTTCTGAAATTATATTTATTAAGAATATGTGTATTAGAAAAAATAATAGATAGGTGCAAAAAATGTCCGTAGATCCATGACAAGACTCTGCACTCTCAGTAAAAAAAATTGCTCACCATTTGAGCATAAACTCGCCACTATTAAGTTCTTCGGGTATTTAAGTCACACTTTATGCCTTAGTAAAGGAAATAACCATTCTATACTTAAAAACTGACTTTAAGTATGAAGAACATGAAATTCATTTTATAGTTTGTTAAATATCGAGAAAATATTTGTAAAGTACAACATAGAGCGAATGATAACGAGGCAATGATCCTGGTATACAATACTCTTAACAAAAATATATGGAAATGTAAATAAAGATAATTATTTTTCTCTTTTAAAAAAACGTTTTTGTATCAGTCATTTTAGCTACCTCAGTCTATTTTAATCTTTTTTTTTGAGTACATCCATGCACGCAGGTGCTTACGAGAGATGTTAGCCATTTTAGCCCTCTAATTATATATTCTTTCACACCTCATACTTACGAGCGACTTCAAGCAAGTTCTTAAAGTTGTTTCAGTCCTGGTACTTCTATCATTTATATTTTCGATAACAAATTATAGAGTGAGTTGTCAATTACTGTATCACTCTCGGTTTTTTTTTTTTTTTTTGGTTTATCAAAATTCATACACAGTTCGTATGCAACCTGAACTTCTATGATAGATGAGCGATAAATCATGCATATAAAAGCCGTATTCTTGAAAAATATAGCAGATCCCAACTATTATCGCTTAGTCAAAGGATCAACATTAAAGTCAAGTTGCTAGCATTATAGGAGGCCTTTGTTTTAAAGCTTTTACTGGTGAGCGAGACTTTAAAGTAAGACCACATTTTCTGCAAAAATATATGTATTTTAAAGATGGAAGGGATATCGCAAGTAAAGTTAATTTGATAAGCTTTGCATAAAAAAAAAAAAAAACAATTGAGCATTTAATGTAACGTTTCAGTTTACTTACATTTTAAAATTCGATGATGATCAAATTAAAACTAACTACCAAAGCCGATGTTACCTTATATTTTAACGTTAAAGCCACTCTAATTATAACGTCTGAGCAAAACATTTTTTTTTTTAATTGATCCGCAAAATTATTTTTAATTAACCCTTCAACAATCACATTCCTTGTTTCTCTTGTCACTCAGACTACAGTATCCTAAACTGTAATGGTTTTAGAACAAGAAATTAAAGACAAAATCTAGATATTCAGTTATAGTCTTATTTGTGATTAAATTATCTAGACTCTTAAACTACTAAAAAGTATGAAAAAAAGGGACTTGCCATGTGTAAGAAATAAAAGCATGGTACACGAATGCACTATGAATCACTGATAAATGATCTTCCAAATAAATCATTAAAATCAAAAAGTTTATAACTTGAAAATTCTTTGAAGGCCAAAGTGGTATTTAATACTGAGGCGGTACTTCCATTTAACGTTGTTCAAGCCGTTTGTAGTTTTGGCTCGGTTAGGCGTGATGTTTGCACTCGCTGGACCGAGCACCAGGCAGAAGATACGAATTAGCAGGACAATAAAATCACTGGCACACAAACACAAGTTAACCTACTAGATTCAAACTTTATTTATCCTTATCCTAAAATAGCTGAACTTGGCATGTGCAGCGCTTGCGAGAGCTGGTGTAAATAACACCACACTCGCGAATTTCCAAATAGCGGCGAACAAAAACGAGGTGTCCATTAGCGAGACAAACAATTTTAGTACGTGTGTCTTGGGCACCGTGCAATGAAAGTCTGAACTGCTTGCGATGCCCATGACTCACGAGTGTAGAAGGCGTGATTTACGATCGATGGAAAAGTTAATTGAACTCGATAAAGCCCTGAACGCTCCAAACCAAAACGGCCTCAACATACCACCCACAAAACGCTGCAACGCATGTTTAACAATTGATTAGGTACTACATGCTAGCCTAGCTAAAGTGTAGTAAAAGTTACATGAAAACCTTAAATAAAGAGATTATTAACTTCGTGGTTTACAAGTTCGCGAGATAAGAACAATCACCTGGCGTAAGCTACATAATACAAAGATAGAAATTTACCTCATATGCATTACATAAGAGAGTATACAAGTAGGTATTTATTACCGCTTATCTTTCTCAGCTGCAGCCCCACCCACCATGGAAGAATGAGCCTGCTTGTACAGTTTGTTGAATCTCTTAGAAGTTAGGAGCATAATAAGCTTAGCAATAGGGCGTTTCAAAACAGAGTTAGCTGTTTTAACTACCACTACTCTGACCAGTCCGTCACTACCAGCGTAAACCCAAACAATCCGGCCTATTAGCCACTTGAAATGCTCTGTTGTTACTGTAGAGAGTGCAATACAGTCCTCATTGAACCGTAAATCGTTGAAAGGCAGCAAGAAAAGCTGGAGCCGAATAATTGGAGACTATCTTGATATGAATAGCTTTTGCAATCAGATACACTTTAAAGCATATGGGACTGGCGTAGTCTGCTTCAGTGTTGATAAAAGGACGTGGCGGCTAGATCCAGGGGTAATGAGCCTACTAACTGGTTCATTGCACCTGACTCGTACCTGTCACAAGTGACGCACTGACGCACGACATGCCGCACAGTAATGTGCCCACGCAGAAGACAAAATTACCTGTTGAGGGTGCTGAACGTGAGAGGAGGGCCTTCATAAAGTATAGCTATGTGCGTTTGGCAAATCAAGAGCAAAGTCGCTTGATGCTTGGCAGGCAGAATAATCAGATACATTTCCAATTCGGCTAGGGCTGAATTTTGCAGGCAGCCCCCTACTCTTACTACGTGGTCAATGTCCATAAAGGGGTTTAGACGGCATAGGTGACTGAAAAAGCTGATGACGCGATTGGCTAGCAATGCACTGTATTCGTCTAGGAATCCAAGCTGCTGTACTAAGTGCCACAGATAGGTTCGCCCTACAGAGATCTCGACGGCATCACAGTGTGTCAAAAAGCGTTTTTTAGGGACAAAAATCTGCCTCGCCCACAAAATTAGACCAAATTTAGTAAATTTTTTTTTAATATGCTCAGGAGATAAGCAGCTTTCAAGTCTCACTGCCACTTTCTTGAATATTTCGAGACATAACCTATAAAAAACTTAGTTCCTTCCAAGTAATTAAATAAAGAATAAAAAAAAGGAAAAAATATGTAGTTTGTTTCGATTTAACGCCAAACACATATATTTCTATGTAAATAATTAATAAATATTAATGAAAAAAAGTTATTATGAAGAATTTGTAGACACATAACCTAACTTCTCTCTAAAACTGATATGTATATTTAGCACTTTTGGGGGACAAAAATCTGCCTCACCCACAACATTAGACCAATTTTTTTTTTTTTTTTTAAATACTCAGGAGATAAGCAGCTTTCAAGTCTCACTGCCACCTTCTTAAATATTTCGAGACATAACCTCTAAAAAAACTTAGTTTCTACAAAGTCTTGAAATAAGCAATAGTAAGGAGGAAAAATTATTTAGTTTTTTTCGATTTAACGCCAAAAGCATACGTTTCTATGTAAATAATGAATAAATATTAATAAAAAGAAAATTATGAAGAATTTGTAGACACATAACTGAACTTCTCTCTAAAACTGATATATATATTTAGCACTTTTGAGGGACAAAAATCTGCCTCACCCACAAAATTAGACCAATTTTAATTTTTTTTCTTTAAATACTCAGGAGCTAAGCAGCTTTCAAGTCTCACTGCCACCTTCTTAAATGTTTCGAGACATAACCTCTAAAAAAACTCAGTTCCTACAAGGTCATGAAATAAACAATAGAACGAAGGGAAAAATAATTTAGTTTGTTTCGATTTAACGCCAAACGCATATATTTCTATGTAAATAATTAATAAATATTAATAAAAAAAAAATTATGAAGAATTTGTAGACACATAACCTAACTTCTCTCTATAACTAATATATTTAACTAAATTAGCCCTGTCCAAGATTCAAGAATACTTAAGATCTATTTTATTAATGATCAGGAGGTGTCCAGATGTAAGGTCTTACTACCGCTTTCCTAAATATCTCAAGACACAACCTACAAAGAAATTTTTTTTATAAATAGTAATAAAATGAATAATGAAGAAAAAAAGAAAAATTATTCAGTTTATCCAAATTAAACGTTAAACATATATATTTTGATGTAAATAATCGAGACATAGGATAACAAAATAATATAAAGAATTTAAAGGTACATCACCTATTTCCTCTCTAGAACTCATAGATTGATATAATTCAGCCTTGCCCACAATTAAAGAACAATTATCAGTTTTAGGAAAAGTCATATCTATTTTTACATAAACAATTAATACATTGTTTCTTTTACATAATATAGTAAGCTGTTCGGAGACATATAGCCTGGTTTTTCTATAAAACTGAAGAATAATCATTGAAATGTACCCTGCCCCTATGTCTAAATTAACTTCTTTGACTTCTATTTAAGGCAGCAGAAGTTTTTGAGCATTTTCAGTTAATTCTCGTTCTTTGTTGGTACTTTTTACCTTTAAGGATGCTATGAGTGGATCTGTTGAAACCATCAGGTGGTGCATTATATCTGTATTTGTTAATGCTCTGCTTACCATCCTGCTGTGTGAGGCTCTAGCTTTTCAGAAGACATTATTATTACACTCCTGAGGCTCCTCAGAGTAGAATCCAATAGGTAATTCTAAATTCTTAATTTTTTTGCTCCCTTGTATCAGAATTTTGTGTAAAAAGGGAGGCATGTTGTACCATGGGTACAATTAAATAAAAAGTTTTGCCGTATTCCGTGCATATTTTTCAAATTTT